CATTCATACAATTGTTTCAATAATTCAATCTATCATATTAAGGCAGTTGGATTGTTGATTGCAATATCCTATTATTGAAAGGACATTTTCATATAGGTTTGTATTGGTTGAGTATTAGTTTTGTATGTAAGCACATTTAGATGAATAGATTATAGAATATGAATTATTGTATGCTACAATATTTGTAATAATAGTAATGTAATAATGAGGACTCTTGAAAGATAATCCAATAAGATAAAAGAAACAAAAAGAAAGTACCATGTCCTAGTTTCTCTGCAAGGCTGTGGCCAATGAAAACCAAAAAAGAATTTGACCAAGTTGAGTCAACTCTTGGATCTTCCTTATTTGTAGTTTGTCCGAAGTTATATAGAGATCGACCCATCACGAATGTTCAAGATGCTCTAATGAAGTGCATCACCGGCAAACAGTGACATACAAAAGCTGTATTAAAAGGCCACATGTTAATTAAGCCTCACATGGAGCAGGCACAAAAGTTGCTGCAAAGTTGCTTTAAAGTGGCACATTCCCACCACCCCCATCCAACCAAATCACTACTTTCACTCAAGCCTCACCCCCACTTGTGGCCTCAGGTCTGTGAGTGGCAGTTACCAAGTTTCTCCCCCTCTCTTCCAAAGTCCCTCACCCACTTCTCCAGCACAGTTTGTTTGATTCAAACCCTCCCCCCGTTAGCCTTGACTCAGGCTTATTGCCTCCTCTCAGCTGCTCGGCCTAACAGAGACAGTTGATTGGTGGCTGAGGCGGAGAAGGAAGCCTTGGGAGTATTTATAGAGAGTCTCTCATTTACCAGAACAATAACAACCCCTCCCCCACACCAGGAGAGAGGCAGACTGACTTTTGGTTTCACATCTTAAATGTGCATATTAGGACACATGTTGTGTTGACTGAGGTAACTCTCTATTCATGTTGATGCTGTGCAGCAATTATAAAAGAGAAGGTAAAAGTCTGAGTGATGAGAAATATCGAGAGAACCAGCTCCTGGGTTGTTTTAAAAACGAATTCACTATGTCATTCGTAAGTGACCCCTTTTATTCTTTAATTTAATACATTTATATCATTATAAGTCGTTTGGAGTACTTATAATTCAATTTAACATGATGTGTCCCAAAACACAAACGCATTAAAAACAAATACAGTGTGTATCTATTTTAACAGTTGAGCAAACAACAATTGTTTACAAAGACTTGTAAGTAGACTAATCCAATGATGCAAGTGCAACCAATGTATTTGAAGGATGTGGCAGCACTTCCTGAGTACTCAACCTTATGTCTGTACCAGTCATTGCCATAGTTACTGGTAGAGAAAGTGTAGGGTGGATTAATCAAGTAGGTAGGATTGAGTTAGCTGGTATTAGTTGATGGTGACAGAGATTACAAATAAATTGGATGTTCAGTTCAGTGTCCCCTTGCAACCCTAACCCTAGCCCCGGCCACACGAGGACGAAAACGGCTAAACGCATAGGATTAACGCAAACGCAATATTCACCGGATAGTGTCTGTCCACACGAGACAGCTCCGTTTAGCTCCAACCGCTGGAGAAGCTGCAGTACATATGCAGGAGCCTGTACGTGGCGCTGTAACTTCCTCCACAAAAGCAGCGAAGAAGCATGGTTGTCATGGTTGCCCTTCTGTTTATTCTCCGCGGTGGGGGCCGAGGGAACCGGGCAGAGTTTTTCGCGAGTCAACGTGAATTAAAGTTTAAATCTTCCGACAAAATTATAAAAGTGCCGGTCAAAGGTCTTCTTTGTTATTTATTGAGCTTTAAAACAAATGAATAATGACTCTATATAATATAATAATATAAATACACGGAGCCTCTCTTTTTCCTCCCTCTCTTCGGACAGCGTCAGTGTCTGTTTCATGCAGCAGCTGATCCAGTAATGAGTGACCCGGCCGACAGTAAAAATAAACATATTTATAACTAGTTTAGGTAGTTTGAGAGGTGTCTCCGTCCTGTCAGATTAGACTTCACTCGCGTTTATGTCCATATCGAGAGAAAGATAAATAATCTGAATTCAGTGTGCAGTTTACTTTGACGCGGGGGTGAGCAGCAGAGGTGGGGAGAGGCGGGGCTATTGCCTCATCATTATCAGAAAATGATCGTATAGGGCGTACACATGGAGCCGTTTGACCCCCCAGAGCGTTGCGTATGCCGTTCTATCCACCTTGGGACCCGTTATCGTTTCCGCAGTCGTTTAGTGCCGTATTCGGTCGTCCTCGTGTGGCCGAACGGTCTATATGACACTAAACAGTAACGCAAACTACCGTTTTCGTCCTCGTGTGGCCGGGGCCATAGTCATCATTACAGACTGCAGAGCCAAGAACAAGTTCAAACCAATTAGCAATTATATTATGAACAAACAAAGCTTGGTATAAAGCTTTGCAGGAAGTACTAATATTGCAATGTACATGTATTATAAACAAGATGGAGCACTTCCCATAGGTTTCTTCCACTTTGCCCCTTTCATTGCGAGGTTTCTTTGGGAGATTTTCCCTGTGCATTGTGAGGGTCTACGGACAGAGGGTGTCATAAGCTGTGCACACTTTAAAGTCCCCTGAGACAAATGTGTAATTTGCTATATTGGGCTGAATAAATACAATTTCATTGATTGATTGATTGATTGTCCAACAGGGAGCCACCAGAATGTGTTTGCTGACTAGCTGCCACATTGAAGAACATGTTCCGCCATTTCCTTGTTCTTTGGTTATAGTTGTTAAGCTTTTAAAAGCATGATACTTTATATGCCACCTTACAGAACCAGGGATGAAGCTGGTATATGACTGATTCTGCCGGCAGTTCCTCTGTACAGAACATCAGACTTCCACTCCAGTGAGGGCCTTTGCTCCAGGGGGGGCTCTAAACACACTTCAAGACCCTGGTGAGGAGCAATAAACATTGGCCTCCTCATCTCTACAGATTGTCGGTTCCCTTGAAGTCTGGCGTACAGAGCCTGGAAGCAGGAGCTGGATTTTTGTTATCCTTATTGTAACTTCTTAACTGCTAGAAGGTTAGTAACGTTGCCTCAGTCGATGGGAATTAAATGGAGTGCCGAGGCAGATGACGCACAGACAGATTAGATTGAGTTGTGCACAGTCCTGACAAAGCAGATATTAGCTCAATTGTTGTCTGCTCTCAGTATTTAAGAGTCAAGAGGAGCTCATGCAAGGTTGGATAGCTCTAAGAACACAAATAAGTGCTGTTTGGCTACTATTCTTTGGATAATTTAGACTGTGTTTGGAGCATGAAATCAGCGTGAAATTGACCTATCATGCAACTGCAGCATTTTTTATTGCATTTTATTAGAGCCTGGCACAGGGGCATGTCCAAGCTGGGAATGGAAGCAACACTTCCAGCCTTTTGCTCCTATAAACACAGTCACATAAACTCTGTCTTGCTCTTTATCCCGGGAATAAAAAAAAACACATTCACACAAAAGTCAATAAATGGCTCAAGGCAAAGTGTGTGGAGGCACACCATAGACCACAGCCAGAGATGTGAAACATAACATACAGAAAGAAAGCCTTTAAGGGATAAGACTGCAGTATCCGCCGTCTAATTACAACAACGCAAGGCTGTTGTTCAATGGATATATAATTACAAAATGCATATCTTCCACTACAATCATGGCTGATTGCGATTTCATGCAAATATCTTGGGTTTTAAACAGTCGCAGTGATGTGATTGTTGAGCTCCAGAAGGTTTGGGCACATTGTAGCTGCGCTCTCTAATGCAATGACACCATTAGTAGCTTTTGGCCCTGGGATAAAAATAAAGTCTGCTTTGATGCATTTTAAAATGCTTGTTTGTCATATTGTCTCAGATTGCAGAAACCTTGCAAAGACCACACGTTCCACTAAAAGAGTGCTCATCAGAAACTTATGTTGATTGTGTGTTTTCTTTGGACAGTCAGGCAGGGGGAGTTTCTCCGTACCCACACCTAGGAGGGGCTCATTAGCACTAGATTAAAGTGGCTGGACAATGTCAAACAATGACAAACGCCTGCCAGTGGTTGCTCATTTATAGTTGAATTCCCAGGACAATGGATTGGCTTGCTCTCCCAAAGTGGTTCTATTCATTTGCAATTGCAGGCAAGAGACTGTTGTCCTGAAGTGGGCAATCAAGGGACTTGTGCATCTGCAGAGTGGAGGCACACAGAAACATGCCTGCATCCACAGTCAATGCACGTAAACGGACCGAACACACACCCATGCACAGCAGTAGTTACACTGCCGCTGCAGCCTCTGTGGCCTAGAATAGCACACAGGCCACATTCCTCTGCCCTCCCTCTACCGCCTCTCTGGGGCGAACACTCAGCAGACCGGTGGGTCACACGGACCAACAATGATCTCGGAGATGAAGTGTACATTCACATACCAGGGCAACACTCTCGCTACACATAGGCCACAGAGATAAGTAGGTGCAGACAAGTTGGAAACATGGATTTCTACACTAATGTTATGCTGTCTAACACACACTGGCAGATATGAGCAAGCATTTTGAATTCTACATATGCATGAAAACATATACTGTATATTACATAACAATATCATATATCTATCTGATATATTTTATCAATGTATGTAAGTATCTATGTATCAGTGCACATATTTATCTACCTGTCTATGTATGTATCTATGTAGGCTATCTATGTCTATGTATGTATCTATTTATATGTATGTATCTATGAATGTATCTGATGTATCCATGTATCTATCTATCTAAAATGAATACAAGTTAATGACTGCCCTTGTATTCACACTATTCATCCACAGGAGCAGCAGATACTTATGAAGACAAACAAGACGTCCACATATTCTTTCAAAAAGAAACAGTGGGGAGGAGGGTATTTAAATTGGCTACTGTGTCACAGTTCTCCAACAGCCCCTGTTTTTCTACGCCCATGCACAATTCTATTAAGTAGGGGCCAATAGGAACAAAGAAGAGGCAGGACCGAGGCTCCACCTCTCCCCGACTGCCTTCCTCTGAGTTTTTTAGATGTACATAATCCCAGAGTTGACCCAGAAAATAGGCAGTCGTTTCAAGATCTGATGCGGCAGTCTTTGTGCACACCATCCCCGCTTGAGCATGAAGCGTAACCCTGTGGAATATATACTGTAATTCAGAGGAGAAGAGGAACACCGTTTAAATAAACGGAGCCGAAGCAAAGTCGCGCAACTTTGTGAAAACGTAGCGGACACGGGTAAGTGATTTTTAACGGATGCATTTGTAGGAGAATTGGGCTTTTGGTCTGTGGTGGTCTCCGGGGCTGCTGCTCCATTGTTTGCATTGCCTTGTTTTAAATTCGCGACTAAACAGATGAATAGTGTTCAGCTACAGGGAACATGATGATTGAATACAAAGATGTAAACCAATCGTTTGGAAGCAATCGTAAAAAAAACGAAACCTTTGTTGGATTCGGTGCCTTGTTAGAAATGTGGTGATTCAGCTGTTGGTGAGATGTTGCATGATGTCAGTGTTCTTTGTTGCAACCTTACGTGCGTAAAATGTAACAAATTTTTCCGTCTCAGCTGACATGCAACACAGATTAGGTTTTAAGCAATGCATTACACGATGCATGTATTTTCCTCCGTTTTGTCGATCCCGTCGTGCATGAATTATCTGGTTTGAAAAATGCACCCAAACAATGTATGTTAACCTGTTATTCCGACCTGGGCGTTCATTCTTTGGCACAAAGACGTGAGATTGTTAAGAAGACTAAACCAACGTTAGGTTCTCAGTAGTCGCCAATTGGCACAACAATAGTGCATATTTTTTTTCCGGAAGCGTTTAGTTGGACTTGTGACATTACATGGAAAATATTATCGTTTTCAATGAAGACGAATTGTGTGGTCACTATAGGAAGTGGGAATAAAATGTGTTTGACCCACAGCAATGTAACATTTCCTGCACATCTCACACATGGTACCATTATGTATGTGCTAGTGTTCTAGTAATACTGATTCACATGGTCAGCTGCTAATGCTACATCAGTCATGATCCAGTAGCCGCCCCCTTTACTGCTTCAGAACATCTTCCACTAACAGCTTCTCCTCTCTGTTCCTAGACAGGAGGCATGGCAGACCATCTGATGATGCCCATGAACCACAACTCAGCGGGCGCTAGTATCCACGGTTACAGGATGGGCATGAATGGCGGCCTGCAGGCAGGTCACCAGCAGCATGCCACCCAGCAGGGCATGCGGGCGATGCCCAATGGCCAGATGATGCACTACGGCGGCGCCCAGGCCAACATGGAGACGGCCATGAGGCAGCGGCAGGGCATGGTGGCTGGACCCATGAACGGACAGCTGAACGGGGCCCAGATGGGGCACCACCAGATGACCTCTGGTAACATGATGTATAACGGTCAACCCCAGCAACATCACCCTCAGCAGCAGCATCACATGCATCCACAGCAGCATCCACAACAGCACCAGCAACAGGCCCAGCACCCACAACAGCAGCAGCACCCACAACAACAACAACAACAACCACAACAACCACCACAACAGCAGCAGCAGGCTCCGCATCCACAGCAGCAGGCGCCACATCCACAGCAGCAGGCACACCCGCAGCAGCAGCAACAGTTCATGAATGGAGGGTTAACGTCCCAGCAACTCATGGCCAGCATGCAGCTGCAAAAACTAAACACCCAGTACCATGGGCACCCACTGGGACCTATGGGTGGGAACCACATGGGGCCTACGACCCAGTACCGCATGAACCCGGCCCAGCTGGCTAACATGCAGCACATGGCCGGACCCGCTTTGGCCCTAAACGGCATGGACGCAGATATGATTGACGAGGAGGTTCTGACCTCGCTGGTCATGGAGCTGGGCTTGGATCGGGTCCAAGAGCTGCCAGAACTCTTCCTTGGCCAGAATGAGTTTGACTTTATTTCAGACTTTGTCAGCAAACAGCAGCCCAGCACTGTCAGTTGCTGAGAGGAAGTGAGTAACGAAGGAGCCCATATGGAGACAGAAGAGTGAGAATTGTCCAGGATGGACGCAGAGTGCTTATCACTTTTTATTTAGTGAACACCTCCCTGTACAGCCAAGCCCCGTTGGGTCACAGGGTGCACAGAAGATAACTCTGGATATCCACAGGGAACACACAGTGCTCGAGTCTTACATGTGCGAGTGGCCAGAGGGCGGTTGGCTGCAGACAGAGCTCCACCTCTCCCATTTCCTGGACATGAATGTAACAAAGAAATGCTGAAATTCTTTAAAGCCACTCTGAACAATGCTATGACACTGTGTAGCCTCCTAGCCCGGACTCCAAGACAGTTTAACAGTAAAAGGGTGTATTTATTTATTCCTGTCTGAGAAAACTGATATAAAGAACAGCCACCATCTCCAGTTTGGGAACCAGGTGGTCTAAAAAAAATAATCTGAGAGTCTGATGGGGGAGAACATTTTTAAATGAAGTTCTCAGCTCAAGTTTTTGTTCCCATTCTATTTGGCATAGTATTTAAATGAGCTCAGATGGCAAGGTCGTCTAAAAAAAGACACAATGGAAGTACAATGCTAACTCATTTGAATGGGAGCCTCATCCCTATTTTAAAAATGGTTCACTTTTGGTTAAGTGCTGCCTTTTTTAGATGTGATGTTCTCTATGAAATCTACTGCTTTTTCTGTATGAAGCTGTATAACTCCAACATGTCCACACTGTTGTGTTCTATTGGAGATGTAGAACCGCCTTAATCGCGCAGATTCTTATTTATTGGTTGTTTATATTGTCCCCTTTTGTTGTGGTCAAGATGGGGGGATGGTCTCTGTGAAGGGGGTTTGAGGATCAATAAAGATGGCCTGGATAGAAATGTGGCCTGCTTTTCCATTCATTGCACAGTTCTTCCCCCGGGCAGTGGAGCGCTAGCTAAGTGCTTAAGTTAACCTGCGGGTGAAGGGAAACCTCAGCTTCTTTCTAGGGAAATGTTTATCCAGCTACAATATTAATGCTATTTGAAAAGGATATATATCTACTCCACATCTCTCGGCGTTCCAATATCTTTTCCTTAACTTGTTATTTCCACTATTAATGTCACTGATAGGAACGTGATTGACACACAGCGATAATGACTGACGGTTAGCAAGCTGTATTATATGTCACATCTTCGATGACATCTCAGGTAAAAACAGTCAAATATGTTTACAACATTTTATCCTGCTGCTTATCTAAGCAAATGCCATGCGCTGACATTATATGTTGCAAGATAGCCGGTTTAATGGAAAGATATTCATTCAAAGGTTGGTGGGCTCACAAAAGCAGGATTTGAATAACACTGGTTCCTCTACAGCACCACAAACATTTGTTTCTTTTTCTGTGTGTAAAGAGTAGTGTGTGTGGGTGGGGGAGGTGAAATGACCAAAGAATGCCTACCTTGATGGGGGTTTAACTGACTTAAAGCCTGTAAGCCCTGACTCAAAGACAGTGCTGCTTTTCCCTTCTCCCCCAGTGAATGGTCAGAGAATTGGCTTTAAATAATAATACTGTAATTCAAATTCAGAAAAAACTCCAGTCTCAGCTACAGATATTTGAAGGAGAAAAAATAATTGTGTTCATATAATTGCATTCATTATGACATGAGGGTAAAGAGAATCTCTGGTGGATGACTTAGTTGGATTGTTATGTGCCTGCAGGCTATGAAAATGCTTGATTGAGGTCATGTTGGGAATGTCATCACCGTGTCTAGCTTTTCACATTGTCAACAAAGGCATCTTTAGTGAGTAACGAGGGGAAAATGAGAGCACGGCTAGAAATAGGAACTACTTATTGCTAAATTTTTGAGTCGACTCTGCCCTTAAAACAGCCTCAACTCTTCATTTATCCAATTGTGTGATGTGCTCAATTGGAAACGCGGCATGATGGATGATCCAAACTGAAATACCAGGGCCTGAATGTGGGCTTGTTTCAAGTAACTAGCTTAAGGGTGTGTGTGTGGATTTTCTTGGCTTTGCACTGTCAAGAGAATGGCTCATAAGTAGGCCAACAGCCTTGGCACACTGCTTAGTAACGGTTGCAGGTCCATTGCCCAGTGCCAATCTGGTGAGATGGTCTTCTGGTGTGTGGCACATGGGGCATGTTGGCACGCTGTCAGAACTCTGTCGCCTCATATATCTCATAATTGTACGGTGCACTGGGAGCTCCTTGTTTAGCCTCAATTAAATGCAGAGGTTTTGTTTTCTTGATTGTGACTCCATAGACGAATGGTTAACTTTGCTAAACAGCCTTGTTTGCTCTCCCAATCCCTTGTTATGACTGCCGCCCGCCTCCATAGGCCAGTCTAGACGCATGCTAAGCAGGGTGGGACACTCGGAGATGTTTACAGTTACTTCTGCTCTTCTTACTCTCTTGTTTTTCAGCCCACCCACATCAACTGCTCAATGCAACACTGTCTTCCTGTGGCAGCTTGCCGGTTTCTCCATATAAATCAGAGACCAAAAGCCACAGTCTGAAAGAGAGGCAAAGTGAAAGTGACAAGAAATACAGAGATGCCGAGAGAGAATGTTAGGATCTCCCTGGTTTACGATTTAGAAATTAGGTGGTGGGTTTTTCCCACAACACTTTTATGATTCCATTTAAAACCCTTCAATAAAACATCAAGCGAGGTATGCTAAATGCATTCCAGGTAACTCCTCTTTTCTGAACTGTATTAGTCTATGCATTGAGCACTGTCTAGTGGTTTTTTTGTCCAGCTGGTGCGATGCCTGAGCTCGTGGTAACTCGGGCCCTAGCACCAGTGATGGATAGGTGGTCATTTTGGTGTTGTCACGCATGGCCAGGTCTTCAAATGCACACACACATCCGCACACAACCTGATCAAACAGGGATACCTCAATATCAGTGTGGAGTCAGGGCGAGATAAAGGATTCATGGATCTCTGGTCAATGCGATCCTTACACCTACATTATCCAGGTAGATAATGGTGGATCCATTATTTAAAATCAAATTAGTACATTTGGAAATGACTACATACTAATGTGCTGGAAATGTGTCATCTTGAAACTGAAGAGTGTGACTGAACTGTGTGCTATTTCTGAGAGGCAAAAGAAAATACCAAGAATCCCCAAGTGTGAATAACTGTAAAGAATGACCTGATGGTGAGAGGAAAACTTGAGTTTCCAAGATGAGTTATTTATTGACAACAAGGGGCATGTTTCCATCTCATTGTGTGAAGAGGGTACAAGTTTGAGCTTGTCTGCTTTAACAAGAGTTTGGAGGTTTTTGGCACGTTTTGTCGTAACCTTGTGAATGTTTGTATGTGTAGTGGTGTATGAGTATATGTGTGCTGACAGGGGGCAAATAAACATCAGCTCCCTCAGGGCAGGGTTCATCCAGTGGTCACGTTGCTCATGCCGAACCTCCTGATTTTCTCGCTGAACAGTCGCCTCGTTTCGCCATCTGACATGAAGTCATATGGTTCCCTCCTTTAGCCTCATCTTCCCATCATAAAGCACTATCAAATAAAAAGGTATGTGAATGCAACAGGCTTGGAAAACATCAGTTGTTGCACTGTGTGATTCTGCTCCGGGGCTTATAAGTAAAGCTCAGCATCTTCTAAGCAACTGTCCCCGTTTTCACACAAGGGAAAACCCATATAAACACATCACACTCTTTTCTCAGCATATTTTAGCAGCGTCTCTGTAATTGTTTGGTTTTCCATGAAATCCTGCTGAGGAGGCTTTAAATACCGCCATGTACCTCCTCGTGAATGCAGTCTCCAGAGGTGAGTTGCTGATTTTGGCATGTCGGGGCAGGTGACACACAGGTTGCTTAGTGACTGGCAACTCCTCCTCCAGCCCCCCTCCCCAAATCTGAGGTTGAATGGTTTGCCAGCGCTTTGAAGTAGAAGGAGGGGGTGTACATAATTTATTTTCCTGCACACAGCTGACACTTCTCCGTCGAGCCGGCTCAAACACATCGAGGTGTCCCAACAATGTCTAACGCTGGTAAATATTTAAGAGTTGTGTGATTTGCACAGTGGAGCCTAACTGAGCAGAGCTGCGGTTTCGCAACAGTGGCACAAAGTTAACCTTTGTGCCAGCACATACCCAGGAAAGATGAACTTGTAACACAAACCTTTTTGTCTTTGAATTTGTTAGTTTTTCAACTGCAAGGATTAGCAGACGGAAATCATGCAATTGTAACTGATTGAGTCATATAAATTAGATCAAATCAACTCTGAGTTTTAAGAGATAATAACAAAATGTGTGCAATGTAAATCAATCCAAAACAAAAGCAAATATAACCCATTTGAAGCTTACATTTCTTTGATAATGTGTCAGCAAGATATATTTGCCATGACACTGTACACGTCAATAATGTAGAGGTGAATCTGGCAGTCTTAATAACATTCAGGGTCATGTTATTGCGCTCACCTCTTGTACTGACAATTTGATTTGGCCTGGTTTATTGTGAGCAGGGATATACTGTGGGGAGACTTACAGGTTAGTAGCTTGGAATAATGGGAAACAGTATTAGCACAGACCATGTTCAGTACACAGTGTCTTTGTGAGCGGGGTTTTAAGCCTGCGTGCTAATCTGGTGACAGTGGCAAGCACATGCTACCAAAGACAGAGTAACAGGCTACAGGCTGGGGGTGGAATTAATACAAGAGAGCAGTTCTTGTGAGGCTTTGTGTTATCCTGCAGCCGGGGAAATATCCATATATTCTAATATCAACGTGTTAATGCCAAGGAAAATCACATGCATGTCATATTCATCCATGTATTTAGTTTTGATGTGTTTATATGTGATCCGTGCATATTTCTCTGCACTCGTGGATAGATAATACCCGTGCTGTCGTGTGACCAACATTTTCCTGGTAGGAAAATCCTGATATTATCCGGCCCACACCATCTGTAGGCACGAGGCTGGCTGGGTGAGCGTGTTGGGGTGAGGGCTGTCAAGACAACTGTCTTAGCAGATATTATCTCCCAGTCAAAAGGCTCTGGAGACAAGCAAGCAGAGCAGGTCAGCAGCCTCATTTATACAAGGTAATGATATAAGAATTTCTAAAAATATGTAGCTAGACATGGCTGTCAGTGTTATGAGGATATCAAAACATATTTTGGGTTTAAAGGTGGCTTTCCCTGAGATGTTAGGCTTTTCATTTTTCAATTCCTCATTATTTGGTTATTTGAACCCGTAGATGCTTAGTTCTACTGGTGACAAATACAAAATAATGTAGTCCAAAATGTTGTGTGGAGCTCACTAGAGTTAACGTCTATTATAATATATAAAATGAATACAAATAAATAAATAAACCTTACAGTAACAGTTTGATTATATCCAGAGTAACAGTGTGGTCCTCACAATACTGTACTATCCTCATCAAAAGAGCAACCTGACAAAGAAATTAAAAGACACCATGTTGTGCTCCGAGGCACGAGGCCAGCAGGACCCTCACCCCAAGGCAACTCAACTGTCAGCCCAAAGGCATGCTGGGTATTCTGGTGAGATCTGGAGATAAAGTGGCTGGCGAGCATCTTATGTTTCTATTGATTCTCCTAAACTGTGCCCACACTTGCCTGCAGAGTGCAAAATGCCAGGCTTGTTCTGCAGACAAAACGGTATTTCCCTGCATAACACCGCAGCTTCAGGTGTCACGTTATGGGAAGGAATGAATTCTGCAGAAATCAAGACCTAAGAAAGTCGTTTTTTTCTCAGTTATGACTGATCTGCAGGGCAGGCCCGCAAAACCTCCATTTCATACCGAAACTGTCTCTGCTCGACATGCTGTACGGCTACTGGGGCGAAGACAGTGGATGCAGATGACTGCTCAGCATTGTTGGTAAATATCAAGGGGAGAATTCCCCCAAAGTCCCCAGTACC